ATTTTGATTTTAATAAAGTTAAAATTGAATTTAAAACTGTCGTGACCTAAAACTTGCTCCCCTGAGAAATTTTTCGAAATGTCATTTACGCTCTTTCTACAAAACACTGACATGTGGCCTTATTACACAAAGGGGTTTCTACAAATGCATAGTAACTAAAATATATTCAAAAACCTTTGGCTTATTTTGCAAGTCATGCCAATGTATAATTTAACAGCTAAAAAGCACACAGAACGCTCGACTTACTAAGAAACCGAAAAAGCGACGTGGAAAAGGGCCGAGAATCGAACAGGCTATCGATCGTAATGCGGTAATCCACTTACTGAACGTTAAGTATGAGTGACGGGGATTATAGCTGGCCGCGCTGTGACGTTGCAATTTGAATTATTAAAGAAAACTGTTTTATGTTATGAAGAATGGATCTTACGATTTCTCTTTAGGAGTCGATACTGCCTCAGCTCGAAATCTAGTTTTTCTCGTACTAATACGGTTAATTTTCTTGGTTCAGCAGGGACACACACAGGGCTTTATTTCAGATTTTTTTTTACATACGAAATTAAAACCGTTTGAAAAATGTATGTTGAATTTAGTTCAGTTGATATAAAGAAAACCATTGGTATATGTCAAGTATCTATTCAACGGTTTTCTTGCAAACTTTCGAGGTAAGTTTATATTTTTTTTACTATCGTGAAAATGTTTAGCAATCGTATTTTCACACCGTATAATAATCGGTGTAAATCCTCAATTTTACTCATTGCCTTACAATTATATGGACGTCGGGTCCGCGCTAAAAAGTGTCCGAACTTATAGGGCGTTAAAATCGTATACAGAGCGTCGTTCACGCTTTGGTCTTCGTTTGTTCGACAGCGAAGCAAGCAAAATTAGACAGTACTGCGATGACATTACAATTTAAATTCAACGTTTTAGCCTTTTCATATTCCTTTACATGTCACTACGTTTAAATAGGTTGACTTGGGACATTTTTTTCGTAGTTTTTGTATTAGACCCGTTGTCCATTTATTTGTAAGTCAATGATTTTACTATATATTTTTTCCAAAGTGCGGAATCATACTAAGGCATTTGAGGTTGTATAGACCCTTAAGGGGTCAGCCTAACTACACTACCCCGTCAAGTTTAGGCATTTTTTTCAATTCACAAAGAAATTTCTCCAATCCGATGGGTTGGGTGCAAACCAGCGACTGTTCTACTGACTAACTCCTTATTTCCCATTGACTTACAAATAAATGGACGACGGGTCTAATACAAAAACCACGAAAAAATGTCCCAAGTCAACCTATTCGAAATTTAAATTGTAATGTCATCGCAGTATCGCGCTGTCAGTAGAACAAATGAAGACTAAAGCGGAGTGTCGCGCTCTGTATACGATTTTAGCGCCTTACAAGTGCGGACACCTTTTAGCGCTTACCCGACGTCCATATAATTGTAAGTCAATGTTATTTCCATAAATTTTTCGTGCTGATGTACATTATAAATATATATTGCATTCAATTAAAATATTATTATTAGAATAAATTTTTTGATTGCTGCCTCTGTGGCCGAACGGGTACCATGCCGGACTACTACGTAGAGATCCCAGGTTCGATTCCCGGGCCGGGAGAAATCTTTGTATGGCCTACATTTGTTTCTCTAGTGAGTTTAGGTGTAAATTGGTTGTGTGTCCGTGGCACCCGCGGCACCGTGTTTCCCTAGTAATATGTTGAGTGTGTGCGTTTCTTGTGAATTAGCCTATTCTAATATACTTAAATTTCAGTAGTAACAATCCACATTTCTATTCATAAATTTTGATATTCATAAAGCAATGTGAAATTCTATTAGTAATATACAGGGTGTAAACCTTACAAAGAATATTCTCCTTAAAAAAACTTTTATATCCCAGTACAAAAAAATCCGTCAATATTAAATTGTCCAGAGATTTTAAAAGATTAATGTTGAAACAAACAGTTTTATTTACGGTCATACTTACAATATATTTATTTTTTTGTGATATCATGCGATGGGACGAACATGTCGTACGCCTGGCGGTAAGCGACACCCCTACCCATAACAGTTTCAGTGCCACTGAGTGCTTTAACCCGCAAAGATCTGAGAATCACTGCCACTCCACCCGTTACCCTGAAACATAAGTTGGCAGGTCCCATCATCGGAACTCAGTAATGTTTACATTACTGCTAGGCGGCAAAATTGGGTAAGGTGACAGTACTTCCCTGGACGAACTCTATCACAAGGAGCTCTAGACCTCCTTGTGCAAAAGTTTGTTTAGGCATAGTACTGCCACTGTACCTATTTCTGCCGTAAAGCAATAATGTGAGCATTACTGCGCTCCGGTTTGGAAGGATAAGGGTGGTTTTGAAATAACAGGAGCATGGGACTTGTCAACTTATATCTCAAGGTGACAAGCGCAGTGGCAATGTCCATGAAATCTTTACGATGTGACCATTGACTTACAATTATATGGACGTCGGGTCCGCGCTAAAAAGTGTCCGAACTTATAGGGCGTTAAAATCGTATACAGAGCGTCATTCACGCTTTAGTCTTCATTTGTTCGACTGACAGCAAAGCAAGCAAAATTAGACAGTACTGCGATGACATTACAATTTAAATTCAACGTTTTAGCTTTTACATATTCCTTTACATGTCACTACGTTTAAATAGGTTGACTTGGGACATTTTTTTCGTGGTTTTTGTATTAGACCCGTCGTCCATTTTTTTGTAAGCCAATGGATGTGTCTAAAATTTAAAATAAATATAAAGTGGCATTGCAACTTCTGTGGACAGACCTGTGACTTAACACCAGGCGTACGGTTTGTTCGTCCCATCACTTGGTTATATTAAAAATAATTCATTTATGACAAAGCAAATTTATCTTAACATAAGCCAGTCAAATCATACTAAGATGGTCACTCTACAGGTCCATTTTCTACCGATCTATTTACCTGTCACCCGCATCCACTCCAAACCAATACATAAATAAATAATGACGTCACAACACAAGTCAATACAATAGGCAAGTGAACACAATTCATTGAATTACGAATGCACCCGTCATTCGCAAACACGACGTCATTAATACACAGACAATTAGCAAATGGATTTACTCAATGCACGATTCGGATATATACAAAACGAACATTGAATAACGTAGCAGAGGGTACATATTGCAGTGGGATTGTGCAAGTTAATAAGCTTATGACTACCCATGTTTATCGTAACGCGTGGTATTTACATCTACTTATTGCAAATTTGCAACAGAAGTCGTCCCACGTTATATGGTAAAATTGTAGCTAAAAAGAGCTGAGGTCAAGGCAATAATAATGAAAACGAAAATGGTTCGACTTCAGTTTGACGTGTACAGAAAGTAAGTGTTGTTTGTCGTATTAAAGTGAGTGACAATGGTAATGCCACAAGTAATCGAGATGAGGAGACGACAACGAAAGAGGGTAGACAGATATGTTCTTAGAACTTTATATTCAGCCACTGACCAGTCAACCCGTGATCATGGAGCATATAAACGTTCTTAAATATCGGGAAAACAAAAAGAATCATATTGTAAGAAACTTATAGTTAATGATAATTCCTGTCAAATTTGTTCTATAGTAACGGAAAATCTATCTAGATTTAAAATTCACAGAAATGGGCAAATCCTGCTATGATGCCAGTTGATCTACAGGGCTCCGCGTGGCGTGGCGTGGCACTGTCAGCATGATGAATGTTATACCATTGTCTGCTGCTCTGCCAATACGAAAGGTAAATCTATCTTCACATGAATTAATAGCTTTTCCCAGTTCAAGTAAATCTTCATAGAAAATATTATCTTAATAATGAATCACTTTCGAAAACGGTTAAACATAATATAAGCATCATTCAATAACGACACTTTTTAATTGGCAGATTAATTCTTTAGTGTAGCTGAAATTTTCATGACTGTAGTCAATGTACAATGTGGACAGCATTTCGACTCATCTGAAGAATAGAGTCCGATGTGATTACATAGCGTCAAGAGAATTAAAAATAAAGAAAGAAAGAGAGTACGTTACGAGAGCAATTTCGTTATTGAAACTAAGGCCTACGTAAAGGTGTTTTGAGAATTTATATATCTTATTTCGTTTCGGAAATATAAAATCGAACAACAGTCGATCTGACATCCACAGCGAAGACGAACGAACGAAATGTGCTATGTCCTGAGAACAAATAGTCTTGCACATAGACCTTTGTTCTACGGACGAGTCGATTTGCTTGACGATTTTTGTGGAAGCGCATAGAACATCATTTCAGTTTCCGTTAAAGGATAATAATAGTTGCCGTTAGACAACAATACCTATCGATTTAAACATATCCGAAGCACAGCGAAGCATCTCTGAAACGCACGGAAATCCCTCGGATCGTGGTTTGCCATAACTCAAGGCACCATGAATTATTGATAGCTGCGGTCGCCAAACAGATATTAGATGATAAATAAACGACACTCCGTCGGGGATACGACGTTTTTCAAAATATAAAATGTTTGTGGAAAAACTTAGTTTGTTTTCTTTTTATTGGACCGTCGACAATATCTATTTATTATCAAAAAATATCCGATGTTATAGTATCTGAAGGTAGACTTCCTTTTAGAAGGATTGGTTTACAGTTGTCGTATTAGAACTTTCAATATGTTTACATCAAATAAGGATAAAAAAACAATATCACCATTATCAAAGCAAAGCAGCAGTATATGACAGACACTTTTATAAAATAAAATAAATACAAAAACATGTTTATTACTTTAACTTAAAGATAATAAATCTTCATACAATCATCAATATATTTATCTTGTACAACTTATAGATCGGTGATCATATGAACGGTGATTATTAAAATTTTGTATTTCAACCAGGCTCTCTCTGCTCCAAAGAATGAGCAGTACAAAAATTTATAAATCTAACTCATAATCATAATTTTCACATTGAAAATATTTGGCTAGTATTGAAAATATTCGCCTGTAATGATTTATAGCGAAAGCACATTTATTTCAAATAATGTTTCGCGCCCCTGGTTTAATAAAGCCACATCTGCAAAATTACAACTTTTCAAGACAGAGGTTAATAGATATTCACATGTACATAATTTGTTTCAAGTAGTGAGTTCATGTGATGGAAGCACTTTTGACACACAATCACATACGGCCTTATTATACCAAGTATAGGATTTCTATCGATTCAAAAATGTAGCAAGTTACTTTGAAAATATTCGACGACGACGTTTCCTGAAGTACATTCCATTTATTTTTTTCGGTGGCCGCGGAAGTTTGGGAGACGTTGGTTGTTCCAACGAATCTAAACCTAAACCTAAATCTCCGTCAGGAGAAGGATCTCTCAAAAGTGCATAAGCGACTTGTTCGTTTAATACACTTTGTTTTGGTTCTAGATCCTTTAATTTAGATATATGGGACTGTGGCTCACGGTCAGTTAAAATCATATCAGTTGCGGCTGGTATATTGTTCTTCTCATTATGGTCTATAATTACATCGTTGTATGACTTTTCTACGTCTTGCTGTTGCGGCTGTTGCCGTTGAAGCTGTTGCGGCTTTAACTGTTGCTGTTTTAACTGTTGCTGTTTTAACTGTTGCTGTTTTAACTGTTGCTGTTTTAACTGTTGCTGTTTTAACTGTTGCTGTTTTAACTGTTGCTGCTTTAACTGTTGCTGCTTTACCTGTTGCTGTTTTAACTGTTGCTGCTGAATCTGTTGTGGTGCGCTGAAATTAAGTTGTTTATTTCCATTATTGCCACTTTTGATAGCTATAGAATTTTTCAGGAAAATATTTGTTATTTAAAACTTACTGTTGAGCGAAATATTTCGGTCGTTGCTTCGCTACATAGTCTCTCGTTTGTTCATTCATTGATGAAGGATCTTTGTGAATTACGTCGCTTATATAATGCTCAACAGCTTTCGCTGCAATTTGGTTAGCCATGTCTTTAAAATATGGTGAATATAACATAGACTTAAATGTTTCTGCTACTTGGTCTGGGTCCATTTTAAGTACAATAGGACGTGCGTCACCTTTCCTTTTTAATAATCCCTTATCTGCATTTACATTCAATAACGACGTTAACAATAGCCATTTTAATCGTGTTAACATTGTTTCTTTTTCAAGTTTGTGTTTATTAAATTAATTTTCTTATTTTTCCATAAGAATCACAAAGATGTGGGACTAATTAATTTCCCAATTTTATCTCTCTTCGTTAATTTCAAGTGTACGACTAAAGCAACAAACCATTTCTTATGCGAAAATAGTCGTAAAAACGATAAAAGATAATTGTTTTTAAATTGCAAGCCAGTAATAGATTCTTCATGGTCACATTTACGTGTAACCAGTCTTGGAAATAAACAAATGACACGAAATATTTCAAATACAAGATTTCATGTTTTTAGTACAACTGTTTGTGAAAGAATCCTCCACCTTGTCGGTCCAAGGAAGTACTGCCATAATTATTTCTGCCGCCAAGCAGTAATGTGAGCTCTACTGCTATGCGAAATCATAATCAAGTGCTAGTAAAACTACAGGTACATGGGATTTGTCAAGTTTATATTTTAGGGAGACAGGCTCAGTGGCAGTGTCCCTCATGTCTATGCGATTTAAAGCTTCGAGTGGCACTGCAACTGTTATAGGTAGACGTGTAGCTTACCACCAGGCGCATGACTGTTTCGTTCTATCACAAACACCAAAAAAGCAAAGACATTTATTTATTACATTTTTTTGTTAAAAGTAACTAAAGAGATAATATAGTTTTATGCCTACCAATACACTTAAGAATAATTGTAACTTTTTCATTGAAAAAAAAATCCTCTCGTCAGAACCTGACTTCTTGGTGCATTTTGCATTTTCTTTTCTGGTTGTCATGGTGAGGTGACTGGTTGATTACACATATTGTGTCAAGTGAAACGTCGACTTTAATTTGTGGAAAATAATAAGTAATTTGTGACAGCCGAAACAAACCCAGAACAGCATCAGAGACTACCTCGAGAGTATACCCTTTCAAATAAAAGAAGAATTTTCTAAATCGGTGCGCAATTTTTTTTTTTTTTTTTTTTTAATTTATTTAATACTTTTACAAAAACTTAAACATATTACAAGCAGCTGTAGCTCAAAAACCACTAAGGGTTTATCTGTCCACAGCGATTCTCTCTAGCCAGTAAGTACTTCCTTAATTTATTTTTACATTTTCCTTCCACATATAGGTCTTGAATATACCCAGGCAAATTATTTAATAACTTAGGTATTATATACTCTAGTTTTCGAGTACCATACACATTATTTGTTTTAGGGAGTATATATTTTCTTGTCTGTATGACTCTCAAATTAGTTGGTCTCTGATATTCACATAATTTATGTACATAATTAAATTCAGCCAACGTTGAAAATTTTACTTTATCATAAACACTCATCACTTGACAATAACTAAATAACCCAACATCATTATCTATGTATCTATTTTTAATATACCTTGGAACAATAATTTTTAAGATTCTTAATTGCAAGCTATATATTTCTTTTAGATACGTATTATATGTTAAACCATAACTACTTATACCGTAACCAATCACAGAATCGGCTAGAATTGATGGAGAAATTGGTGAATGCCTGTAAAATTTGAGGATTTCCTTCGATTTTCATTGGATCCCCTCATCAGAATCTGACTTAGTGAATGCGTCTACCACGAAAGTACACCCTTTCAAACAAAAAAGGAACTTTCAAAATCGGTCCACAATTGACGAAGATATTCGAAAACATACATACAGCCGAACGTATAACCCCCTCCTTTTTTTTGAAGTCGATTAATAAGCACTTTTGTATGAGTAAGCCTTCTATCGATTTGGTAAATTACCTATGAATTTGATTATCATATAAATTTGCAACGACAAAGAGAATCCGTAACGTTGCTCCTGCTCCAATTTAGGCGGAATTAGATAAATTATAGATTTATTACATATTAATTGCTTTATACTAAAGGATTCTGAAGTATGGCTTCCCTGTTTAATTGTTCAATCACTTTAATAATAATAACGTAGGCCATTGAAACACTGAGGAACTTAGACTTTCGTCAAAACATCCTATAAACATCGAAATGCTTTAGCGCGATTAGTCGTCTTACACCTGATCAATAGCTCTTCCCTGATCAATTATTGACGACGGGAGCTATTCAGTGAAGGCTCATGTTAGATCCACATTATTAATTCCGTTAGAAAGCCTTTCTATACCAACTATTGTACTTCTCCGATATGTAGAATAGATATTAAATGCCGTTTTGAAATTGAGTACAAAACAAACACATCTATTGGCGCGTTTATTGTTTGAAGAACGTATTGTAAATATTGTAATTCTACTACGTTAATTAATCTCAACGTTAATCAAGTCAATATAATTGTATATTCCATTATCATAACTCATCTTGCTAAACTATGGGCTTTCCATTGGAGGATGTTCTTTTTAAATTGTTCATCAGGGTACTGTAACCTTTAACCTGTTTTTTATATTAAATCGTGAGTTTTAGGCCTAGTATTTTCAAGTCGATACCTGTAGTTACTATATTAATATGTATAACCTGAATTCCTGATCTCAGTGATATGGAGCTGCACAGGTGGTGAATAAGCCAATCAAATAATAAGAACTATGACTCTTAGCATTTTTATTCCTAAAGAGCTAGAATACAAAAATAATGTTACCATCGAAGGAAAAGTTTCTTCTGTTTTATGAATTTAAATTTTCAACAAGGACTTATAAAAATATACCAGTTTTAAAATTGTATAATAGCTTTTCATCGATCAAACATTGTTTAAGCTTAAAGCATTCAATACTGAATATACAAGGTGGCTCGAACGATGTGTACTTTATTCTTTTAGTCAGTAGTGACCATGGGTCCTGTAAAGAGCCCGAAATGTTGGTTTGTTTTAAAAAAGTATTACATGCGATGTAACTCCGAAAAAGTTGTTTCATTTCATTTATTTATTTATTCATTTATTTATTCACTCTCACATAAGGAAGATTGTACATTATAATTATATGTTAAACAAGACTTAATAATGACTAAAGTTAGCTACCTTAAGCGAGAGTCTGGAGTTCGTACTAGGTAACTAGACCTGTGTTACAAATCTCCAGGCTCCCACCCCGTTACAATTTATTTATTTAGTTTTCAAAAAGGTAAGTATATAATCTAAAAGGAAAGATATGAAGATGTTTCGTGAGTGAAATTTGTGTGTGTGTTTGTGTGTGTGTGTGTGTGTGTGTGTGTGTGTGTGTGTGTGT